AAGGAGAATGCTGTACTTAGATGAATTTGAGGAGATGTCTCACAAGCTTCACTAAAGATGGAGTTTGTCATGGAGTGTAATCTCCAGGGCAGGCAGAATTGGGCATGGACTGGCTTTGTCTGACTTGCTTTGCAATATCAAATGAGTTGATCAGTAGTAGAAGAAAAATCTTATCCAACAACTAGGCCGTGACCTATTCTGTAAAATGATGCAAGTGAGTGGAGAGAAATGGGAGGATACTGAATATGAGCAAACTGCAGCTGTGGGGTCAAGAATACTGCACCTGCACACTGTGCTCTTCCCTCAAGGACTATGCAAGTAAGTGAGTGAGGAGTAAGGTATAGACAGACATCCTCTTTTCTTCACACAGCTTGGTGGAGCTGGAATGATATTTTGTAACGGACTGATTTGATCACTCTCTTTCCTACCAGTGGGACAAAAGCCTTCATGATCTTTTTGTCAAGGTAATATCTTGTCAAGCCTGCACCAAGCCACCAAGCCATCCAAAAGGTACCTCTTAGCACAGATATTAATAATAACACTGTTTAAGGATCTTGGAATCCCTTTCTCTTCTGGCAGCATTCAGATGCTGGGTTGCAACTTAATTTGTTTCTATTTCATTACACTGGAAAGTTCTAGAAGCATGACTAAAATTATTTGAAATAGAAAAAAAAACAAGAGTTGTAAAGAAAAACATCCTTCTATATCAGATGGACTAAAAAAGTGAACGTATGATTTGAAAAGCAGCAACTCAAGCTGTTCCAGGAAAATGACTTCTTGAAGTGTCCCTCTGCCTGTTGCCCTCAGAGCAAAATTTGACACAAGCAGGGAGAAAAAAAGATGTCAAATATTTCCAGACATCTCTGGTTTCTTCCATCCCTATTAGCACAAAGACAAATGCCTGGGATGCTTTTCTCCTCCTGTTTTGTTTCAGGATCTCACCTCGTGGAATAATTTAGATGGAATAATTGGGAAACAAAGTTCTCAGTTTGGTAGTGAATGAAATAAGGAAAAATGGATCACAGTATGATGGCAGAATTAACAATACACTTCTCATTTTAAAAGGGAGGCTGCCTCTGTTTGTGTTTGAATCTCAGTGCTGGCAATATGAGGAAAGGTGCAACGGCAGAAATTACAGCTGGCAGTCATCAGGATGAAGGAATGCACCTTTGCAGCCATTTGCTGGTAACAGAACAGCTCCTGCAGTTAGCCATGCCTATGGTTAATAGGTTTTGTGGACTACAGTACAGACCTTTACAGAGGAAGTGCATTTTTCTTATTGTTGCTCATAAATCTTTCTCTGTTTTGCACGGATGCTTAAATAATTTATTTCATTTTGATTCTGCTGTGTGAAGAATGAACAAAAATAGAAATAAATAGATATTTAATTCAAATTTATTTAGACACTAAGGTTTAAAAAGCCAGAACTAGATAAAAATTCTGTTAGCTCCAAGTTCTGTGCAATATATGTTGAATGTTTTACTATCAGCACTGTAATCTCAGTGTGAGAGAAAAGTATAGGAAGACCCTTCCTTGCTGCATTCGCTTGGGCTGCCCAGTGCATTCAGAGTGGAGCAGGTACTGCCTGTCTGAAGGGAAAGGTTTCCATGTGTTCTTCCTGCACCATGCATCAGGATTTTCTACTGATGGGTTATAGCCAAATGCAGACCTGGATATATTAGTCTACTGGAATGTGTAGACTATATATGTGTTGCTTTATATCTGTCTCTTATGTACACAACGTGCAATTACCAAGAGAACTCTGAAACTGTGAGAAGATATTAGCATTTCTATTTTTAATCAATAAATTTATACAACAAGATCTTCTATAGGCAGAAGGCAAGATCAGGTCTTGAGCAGAGCAGAGAGGAAGAGAGGGAGAATGGGACTCAAGTTTAGTAACTGAAAAAGAAATCAAAGGAGCATGGCTTTCTGAGATCAATATATGAGGGACAGATATCATAGAAATTTGCAAGTGAAACTCCTGCACTACATCATTCTCAAAAACAAAAAGCCAAGTAGCATAAAGTAGTGCCACATGAGTTTGATGGAGTTTTACTTGGAAAATACAAAGCCTGCATCCCTTTATTCAGCAGATCACACAGGCAGCTGGATTTGTGGTAAATTTAGAGAACTGCTGGATGAAATTTCAGTTCCATTGAAGGACAATTGTAAAAGTCCTCTTCACTCTAAAATTCCCTTGGATACCACCCATGAGATCTTTTTAACGCTGCTCTGTTGAGGAGCCAGCACTGCTGTGAGAACAGGGACTGGGCTCCATTCAGAGTGAGGTTTAAACTGCATGGTCAGGTCTTGCTTCATTTCTGCTTATGCAACCCCACGGCAGTGATGAAAGGAAAAGAATCCAAGTTGGTTTTCAGATCCTAACCTGAATTTTCTTGTCTGACATCTAGGAACATCCTTCCCCCTTCTCACTGCAGATGTAAAATTAACTCATTTTCTGTGTAGGTCTTTAAAAAGTCAATATGTATTAAATACAATTATGGTGTGTTTTACTGGAAGACTTTTCAAGATGCAAGCATGATTTAAAAACAAATTTCTGGACTTTCTGCTTTTTCCATTTACTTCAGTGCACCGTCAACTCCACTTTGTCCTGCCTGATCCAACTTCCTCTCCACTTTAAGGGAAATCTCATTGCCTTTGGGGATATCATTCCATAGGGATTCACATAAGTGTAGATAAATGCAAGCATTTATATGAGCAGCTAGTTCATTGCTTACTTGAATTGCTTCTTTCCAGTCACAAACACTGATGCTAATGTGTACAAGCATGAGTATGCTGTGCTATATGTATCTTGCACATACAGCATTAGATCAAAGAGTCCCAATGTTTTCTTTCAGAGGTTTGCTAGATATTTTTGTTGTTAATTACTGGCAAAGAACATTTTAAGAGATGCATACTTTTCAGCTGCGTTCCAAAAGATGTATCTCATTGTTTAAGCACAATGAATTTTAAAAAGAAACAAAGAAAAAAAAAAAAAAGATCATCTGATCATCTGCTCTGTTATTCTCCTTTCCTGATCACCTCTGCCCTGGTATGTAGAAATTGGCTGATTTATTTAAATCCCAGCAACTCCCATGGCATATGGTTCATAAAGTGGCATTTACAGTGTGCATTGTAACACTTCATCACTACTAGGCAGACTTTGAAAGTAATACGGGTTCACATTGTTCCAAAAAAGAAAAATTAAGGTGAAAGTAAATCTAATACTTAGCTTTTCTTTTGAGTCTACTGCTGTAAAAAATCAACCTTAGGAGAGGAATGGAATTTTCTGAATGACAACTGCCACCAAAAAAGAAAAAAAATCCCCTAACCCAAAAAGCCATCCTCAGAAAGTAGTTCTTCAACACCGCCTTTTTTCCCACAGCCTTGTGGAGCCCCCAACCCTGTCTGCAGAAAATGAAAGAGAGAGGGGTGGGATTAATGTGTAATTAAAGGGAATTTGGAAGGCTGAGATGTTGCGGAATGTTAGATCAGTAGCTGGAACAGCATGTGGTGTTCTTTAGGCAGGCTTCATTGAATCCATACAAAAAAAGAAAGAAGGGCTGCTTGCCTGTCTGCTCATTTATCAAACAGCTAGGCTGAACTTTCACAGCTCCACAAAAGTGTTTTACTGTTTGCTGAAGTTTTGCTCCAGAAATTAAAGCTGAACAACCTTCAGTGAGTCTGAGTCTGAATTTTTGACGTGAGCCACGTTGTGCAAAGCTCTTGGAACATGGTGCAGGTTAATTTTTTACATGATGCAAAAGAAAGCTGAGTTGTATGTTGGATTTTAAAAAACATATTACAGTCAAATATGTGACATTGTAACATCTTTATTTATAAAGCACCTTTTGATCCAAATACATGTTCCAGAGCTTTCAGTCATCAATCAGGATTAAATATTTATCACGGTGGCAAAATGGCTCACAGGGGAAAAATCTATACTATTTAATCAATTTTACTTGACACTGTCTTCTGTTTGAACAGTTGTATTCCATCTTCTATGCCTGTTTTTCTTTAATTCTACTTGTTCCTCTCCACGCCACGCAAAATAGGAAACAGCAATTTATATTATGAAAGCACAAAATAAGCTACAGATTAAAAAAGAAAGAAATTTCTCTTGCAAGTGAATCTTCAAGGCTTACTGCGTTCTTTCTTGCATGACTGTTCTGCCAGCTGAGTTTTGCCTCCGCTGCAGACAACACCGAGAATCAGGTTCAGTCCCACGAGGTGCTGAGAGCTGCCTTTCCAGCAACTCCAGCTGAGCTTTTTCATCACGAATAGCCTGGCTGACAGCGGATCTGCACAACTGACATTCATTAATTTGTTTCCTTAAATGCATCTGGTGCTGAAGAAGTTTTGTTTTACAGTAGCAGTGTTCTTTTAATCTCTGCTGATGGACCGAAGCCCAGGTTCTTGACAATATCCTGCTGTTTCTGAGATGCACTTGTTTTCCATAGCAGATAAATTGATTATGACCTATCTTTAGAAAATGCAGCAGTGAATCTTCCCTGGTGGAAGTGGTGCCCTGTCAAATACCAATATCTTTTCACAGAATCCTCTCTTACAAAAGGGAACATTAAATGGCAGGATCATGAAGGCCTTTGAAGAAATGTTGCCTCCAAAGCTCTCAAAAGGAAAGGTTTATCTAGTTGCAGGAAAACCAAGTTTGTTGATCCTGCAAACAGATTTAAATAAATGGTCAGTTCTACAATCTTCATTTGTTTAGAAGCAAAAATGGTTGAGATTTAAGGAACAGTAATTCCATAAAATTCTTTATCTAAACTGATGGTAGTTAATAAAATCATACTGAGTTTAAAAGCCTATTGTCCTTTTTTCAGCAATGGAAAAAATCATAATCTTTCTCCTGATTTTTTTACCCATGTATTTGTGTGAGACCGCAGTACAGTTTTTCTGCTTATTGGTCTTAACAGTCTGTAATAAATTATTAGCAAATGTTTTCATTTCTTTCTAATATCAGTTTTATTCATTTGCAGATAATAAGGCAACAGTTTCCACAGCTAACAACGAGAAGACTTGGAACCAGAGGCCAATCGAAGTAAGCAGTGTATGGTGCATTATCATCTCACACAGGGCCCCATCTGGCCCTGACTGAATAGAATAGTATGACATCAGGGAATTATTTGTCCAGTTGGGGAATTAAAACCCAACTCTGATACAGTTTCCATTGTAGTTTTTACTCTTATTGTTTCAGTGGTGAAAGTGCTGCATAATCCAATGGAGATCTTTTACTGAATTCGTCAGCAATATTTTCCATATTTTTTCTAGTTGTCTCTTCTCAGCTCATTTTACATGACATAAAGGGCATTCACACTTAGCACTAATGGAGCTACTGTGAAATCACAGCTGGTTAACATCATGTTTAAGTTTGGAGAAAAAGTGGTGGAATGCTATGTGGGATTTAGCTAGAAATATTTTTTGTCCTAAACTTAAATTGTCCACAGACCTGGATTTAATCACAGGTTTTGCTGTGTATCAAAATCCAACGTCTCTTTACACATTCAATGAATTATTTTATTGCCTTATCCAAAAGATGGTACCTCCCCAAAGCAGTTTGTCCTAATGGTTCATTCCAGAATGAGAAATAAATTCAGATAGAAGAATGCACTTCACATTCTGTTTGAGATTTTCCAATTGTTTTTATGTTCATCTTGAGATTCTTTTAACTTTTATAACTCAGCTTAACTTTTTCTCAAGCAGCCATTTTTAAGTAATTAATTGTAGATCTGAGATTTCTTCCCAAATATAAATTCAGACATGCTGTAACAACACTCAGAGCTACCAGATCCTACTCAAGTGTAAACACTGGATTAGTCCAGCAGCATTAGTCCAACAGGAAAGCCTGATAGGTCAGGACTCAAAGCATCAGGACTTTGCACTGAATTTGAAGGTTATATGGAAGCTCATACAGACAGGGTGAAAGCATACCTTGGTTGCTTTATGGAATATCTCCTATGACAGTGCTCTTTGTCAACCATGAAGTCATTCTGATCCTGACTATAAATTTGTTGTCTTCCTGTTTAAACAAAGAATGAGCATTGGTATATTCCCAAACTGGAGCTCCTCTGTCAGCTTCGGAGGTCTCTCAGAGGGGCAGAATCCTTTGATTAGCTAACTGAAGGCATCTTGCATTTGCAAAAACAATGTCTCTTCACTCTCAGGAGCTAAAAATCAGTGAGACTTAAAAGTTCTTGCATATTTTCCCCCTAACCTGCGTTCCTACTGAAAAGGCTTTCAGGTCTCATTCTCTTATCATGCTGTCTTTGCAGTAGTTCTGATCCTATCTAGCAAGTAAGATGTTTCTGAAAGCACTCAACAAAATCCTAGGCCCTTGGTTGTCTCTGATAATGCTTCTGAGAGAGATTATAGTTATTCAAATTTCACAGCCTCAGAAGGTATAAAATGAAGTTGTTCTGGTCCAAAAGAGGATCATCTTCATCCATGGTTAACACCCCAATTATCATAGCACACAAAGAAGCAATTTGATCCAATGAAGAGGGGAGGTATAAGCACATCTGCATATTACAGAATTGCAGGGGCTAGAAGGGACTTCTGGAGATCATCTAGGCCAACCCCCTGCTAAAGCTGGTTCCCTACAGTAGGTTCCATGGTAAAAGGTTTGGGCATGTTTTGAATATCTTCAGAAAACGAGACTCCACATCCTCTCTGGGCAGCTTGTTCCTGTGCTCTGTCACTCTCAAAGTAAGTTCTTTCTCATATTCATATGGAACTTTCTGTGTTCCAGTTTGTGCTCACTGCCCCTTGTCACTGGGCACTGTTCAAGAATCTGGTCCTATCCACTTGACTCCTCTTCATGAGATATTTGTAAACATCAATAAAATCCCCCCTCAGCCTTCTCCAGGCTGTACTCAGCTGGTCCTCATAAGGGAGATGCTCCAGGCCTCTCACCATCTTGGTGTCCCTCTGCTGGGCTCTCTTGTGAAGTTCCCAGTCTTTGAACAGGGGAGACCAGCACTCCAGATGTAGCCTCAGCATTGCAGAGGATCACCTCCCTCGATCTGCTGGCCACGCTCTTTGCAATACACCCCAGGATGCCATTGGCCTTCTGGGCCACAAGGGCACACTGCTGACTCATGACCGACCTGTTGTCCACCAGGACACCCCGGTCTTCCACAGAGCTCCTTTCCAGCAGGTCAGCCCCTCACCTGTACCAGTGCATGCAGTTATTCATC